CTTTCCCCTTCAATCATCCTTCCTTCCTTCCTTCCTTCCTTCCTTCCATCTCCATCCCTTCCCCTTCAATCTCTCTCTCCTTCCTTCCTTCCTTCCTTCCCCCTTCAATCTCCTTCCTTCTCCATTTCCTTCCTTTTCCCTTCAATCTTCCTTCCTTCCATCTCCATCTCCATCCTTTTCCCTTCAATCTCTCTCTCCTTCCTTCCTTCCTTCCCCCTTCAATCTCCTTCCTTCTCCATCTCCTTCATTTTCCCTTCAACCTTCCTTCCTTCCTTCCATCTCCAGCTCCATCCCTTCCCCTTCAATCTCTCTTTCCTTCCTTTCTTCCCCCTTCAATCTCCTTCCTTTCCCCTTCAATCTTCCTTCCTTCCTTCCATTTCCATTTCCATCCCTTCCCCTTTAATCTCTTTCTCCTTCCTTCCTTCCTTTCCCCTTCAATCTCCTTCCTTCTCATCTCCTTCCTTTCCCCTTCAATCTTCTTTCCTTCCATCTCCATCCCTTTCCCTTCCCCTTCAATCTCGTTCTCCTTCCTTCCTTCCTTTCCCCTTCAATCTCCTTCCTTCTCCATCTCCTTCCTTTTCCCTTCAATCTTCCTTCCTTCCATGTCCATCCCTTTCCCTTCAATCTCTCTCCTTCCTTCCTTTCCCCTTCAATCTCCTTCCTTCTCCATCTCCTTCCTTTCCCCTTCAATCTTCCTTCCTTCCTTCCTTCCTTCCTTCCTTCCTTCCATCTCCATCCCTTCCCCTTCAATCTCTCTCTCCTTCCTTCCTTCTTTCCCCCTTCAATCTCCTTCCTTCTCCATCTCCTTCCTTTCCCCTTCAATCTTCCTTCCTTCCATCTCCATCTCCATCCCTTCCCCTTCAATCTCTCTCTCCTTCCTTCCTTCTTTCCCCCTTCAATCTCCTTCCTTCTCCATCTCCATCCCTTCCCCTTCAATCTCTCTCCTTCCTTCCTTCCTTCCTTCCTTCCTTCCTTCCCCCTTCAATCTCCTTCCTTTCCCCTTCAATCTTCCTTCCTTCCTTCCATCTCCATCTCCATTCCTTCCCCTTCAATCTCTCTCTCCTTCCTTCCTTCCCCCTTCAATCCCCTCCATCTCCTTCCTTTCCCCTTCAATCTTCCTTCCTTGCTTGCTTCAATCTCCATCTCCATCCCTTCCCCTTCAATCTCTCTCTCTCCTTCCTTCCTTCCTTCCTTCCTTCCCCCTTCAATCTCCTTCCTTCTTCATCTCCTTTCTTTCCCCTTCAATCTTCCTTCCTTCCATCCATCTCCATCTCCATCCCTTCCCCTTCAATCTCTCTCTCCTTCCTTCCTTCTTTCCCCCTTCAATCTCCTTCCTTCTCCATCTCCTTCCTTTCCCCTTCAATCTCTCTCTCTCTCCTTCCTTCCTTCTTTCCCCCTTCAATCTCCTTCCTTCTCCATCTCCTTCCTTTCCCCTTCAATCTTCCTTCCTTCCATCTCCATCTCCATCCCTTCCCCTTCAATCTCTCTCTCCTTCCTTCCTTCTTTCCCCCTTCAATCTCCTTCCTTCTCCATCTCCATCCCTTCCCCTTCAATCTCTCTCCTTCCTTCCTTCCTTCCTTCCTTCCTTCCCCCTTCAATCTCCTTCCTTTCCCCTTCAATCTTCCTTCCTTCCTTCCATCTCCATCTCCATTCCTTCCCCTTCAATCTCTCTCTCCTTCCTTCCTTCCCCCTTCAATCCCCTCCATCTCCTTCCTTTCCCCTTCAATCTTCCTTCCTTGCTTGCTTCAATCTCCATCTCCATCCCTTCCCCTTCAATCTCTCTCTCTCCTTCCTTCCTTCCTTCCTTCCTTCCTTCCTTCCTTCCTTCCTTCCTTCCTTCCCCCTTCAATCTCCTTCCTTCTTCATCTCCTTTCTTTCCCCTTCAATCTTCCTTCCTTCCATCCATCTCCATCTCCATCCCTTCCCCTTCAATCTCTCTCTCCTTCCTTCCTTCTTTCCCCCTTCAATCTCCTTCCTTCTCCATCTCCTTCCTTTCCCCTTCAATCTTCCTTCCTCCCTTCCTTCCTTCCATCTCCATCCCTTCCCCTTCAATCTCTTTCTCTCCTTCCTTCCCCCTTCAATCTCCTTCCTTTCCCCTTCAATCTTCCTTCCTTGCTTGCTTCAATCTCCATCTCCATCCCTTCCCCTTCAATCTCTCTCTCCTTCCTTCCTTCCTTCCCCCTTCAATCTCCTTCCTTCTCCATCTTCTTCCTTTCCCCTTCAATCTTCCTTCCTTCCTTCCTTCCTTCCTTCCTTCCTTCCTTCCTTCCTTCCTTCCTTCCTTCTACATCTCCATCTCCATCTCTTCCCCTTCAATCTCTCCTTCCTTCCTTCTTTCCCCCTTCAATCTCCTTCCTTCTCCATCTCCTTCCTTTCCCCTTCAATCTTCCTTCCTCCCTTTCTTCCTTCCATCTCCATCCCTTCCCCTTCAATCTCTTTCTCTCCTTCCTTCCCCCTTCAATCTCCTTCCTTTCCCCTTCAATCTTCCTTCCTTCCTTCCATCTCCATCTCCATCCCTTCCCCTTCAATCTCTCTCCTTCCTTCCTTCCCCCTTCAATCTCCTTCCTTCTCCATCTCCTTCCTTTCCCCTTCAATCTTCCTTCCTTCCTTCCTTCCTTCCATCTACATCTCCATCTCCACCCCTTCCCCTTCAATCTCTCTCTCCTTCCTTCCTTCCCCCTTCAATCTCCTTCCTTTTCTATCTCCTTTCTTTCCCCTTCAATCTTCCTTCCTTCCATTTCCATCTCCATCTCCTCCCTTCCCCTTCAATCTCTTTCTCCTTCCTTCCTTCCTTCCTTCCTTTCCCCTTCAATCTCCTTCCTTCTCGATCTCCTTCCTTTCCCCTTCAATCTTCCTTCCTTCCTTCCTCTTCCCTCCCTCCCTCCCATTTTTGAGCAAGGAAGAGTAAGCTTCTCCAGCGAGCATTGCTATATTGTTTTTGTGATTAATCACTATGCTTTAATTATGTTCAATTCGTAACAATGAAAATACACCCTGCATATCAGATATTTACATTACGATTCAAAACAGTAGCAAAATTAAGTTATGAAGTAGCAACGAAAATAATTTTATGGTTGGGAGTCACCACAACATGAGGGACTATATTAAAGGGTCACGGCATTAGGAAGGTTGAGAACCACTGAACTAGATGGATAAAGGCCCTGAAAGGATTGATCATTGATGTCCATCTCAGCTTCAGGTGTGGACATGAAGCTGTTCATCACTGGAAAAATACTCTACCATATTCTGAAATATTCTTTCTCTCTGTGTGTGTTTTATTCTTTAGAATCTTCCTTGATCATCATTCATAATGTTTTGGACATGTTTGTGTTAGCCAGGCATTTCCTTGGCTGCAAGCAACATGGCCCACAGAGACATGAATGGTTATTAGATCCTGATGGTGGGAATTTGTTTTACTTTCAAAGGTTAGACAATATGCACATATCTGGTTGTGTTTATTTTCTTTGATTAAGATCAGATGCCAAGTTAATAGGTACCAAATGCAACAAGAAGTCATATTTACTTCCTGTTTACATGTTTCTTTTTAATATAAATTGCAGACAATAACTTTGAAACATGTTAATGACAGCTATGAGTTTGGCCTCTACAATGTCGGATGCTTTCCCATCTGGTTTTGACATGTCTGTTATATATTAACTGAATCATTGCTACATTTCTTTCAGAACCTGTCCCAAAACTACCCTGATTTTTATATTTGTTTTTCTCAAAACTCCTTCACTGAAAAAGCATTTGAGAATATGTGTTTGGGGCTTTTTGCGTATTATTATTTTATAATTCCTCACACAGTCAGATGCTTAGACTGGAATTGGCATTTTTATCCACATATCAAGTCCCAAAGGCCTGTTGTTGTTTGATGGTATTAAAGGTATCATCCCAAGTAAAACTGCCTTTTGCAATTGGCTGGTGGGGATTTTGTCAATGGCGATGATGTTCAGGTAGTACTCCAGTTGTTTTAGGTTTGCATCCAAAGCACCTATTACTATTGCTTTGCTTTATTTTGCTACAGTCATTCTATTTCTATTTGAGGTCTTTATATTTTCTTATCATCTCCAATTCTTTCTTTCTTTCTGTCCTGCTGCTCCAGATACTGCCAGCTTCATCTAGACGTTTGTGTCTTTCTTATTGACAATTGTTAAATTTGGGGTGTTATGTGGCAGGTGCTTGTCTGTTTGAATTCTAAAGTCCCGGAGCACTTTAGCTTCTTCATTTTCTTTTTACATATATATATGTCTTTGGTTATTCGGGTTTTCTCCCGCATAAAATTGGAAGTGTCTTGGCGACGTTTCGACGAAGTCCCATTCGTCATCTTCAGGCTGGTGGTTTCAGCTTCGTGCTTCGAGGAGCACGAAGTTCGAAGCACAAAGCTGAAAACACCAGCTTGAAGATGACGAACGGGACTTCGTCGAAACGTCGCCAAGACACTTCCAATTTTATGCGGGAGAAAACCCGAATAACCAAAGACCTACATATAAACACCCGCAAAAACCTCAGAAAACAAATATATATATATTTGTATATATATATAATATTTTCCTTCACACTATATTATATAAAAATGGGACACTCATGATTAAGCCTCAAATATACTTATTTATTAAAGTAAGTATAGCTATAGACCAGGCATGTCAAACTCGCAACGTCATGTGACGTCGCACAATGTATTGCAACTTTTTCCCCATTGCCAGCAATGGAGTGGGTACAGTTTTGGCGTGACATATCTGGCCCGTGGACCAACAGTATGACATGTCTGCTATAGGCCCAAAAAAGAAAAACAAAAGGAAAGAAACAAAAACAATGTTAAGTTACAACATATTGAGGGTAAAAAGCCTATTCATAGCAGGAATTAAGCATATCTGTCCAGTATTCAGAGCCAACAGTTTCTGTCTGCCATTATTGTACTAACAAATTCTGTTGGTACAGAATTCTGATGTTACTGTAAACAAATTCTTACCATCTTCTTAGAAAGCCCTAAAAGTGATTTTCCAAAAGGTAATTGGACTTTCTTGGGTTTTTTTTCTTGAAAATGTTTCACTTCTCATTCAAGAAGCTTCTTCAGAGAACTAGAGTCTATCAGAAGGTTATAAAAAAAATCAGCATTCTGCCAGCCAGTTAGCTTTTAAAGATAAAAAGCAAAGAAAAGCAGAAACTTAAAAAAACTGAAGCTAAAATCCAGGCATGCTTAAGAAAATGAATTGCTGAGAAGAAAGATAGATGATGGTGATTTTTTGACCACTCCCACAGGGAACTGCAGTCTTCAAGATTCCTCCTCCCAGATGGGTTCACTGTCATCTGGAAGCCATCTTGGATCATCCAAAAGCTGTCTTGGGCCAAATCAGCTTTGGCAGAAAAATCAGCAGTTCATCAGCTAGACAGAAAAATTCCCTTACCATTCAGCAGCCATCATGGGGAGGAGTCATGTAACCACAGTTTATGACTACTTTGCTAAAACCTGGCAGTAACTGGACAGGCTCCACTAGTTATATGCTAAGGACTATCTGCAACTCTGATGGAATTGAGTGATTATTTGATCTTATGTTTTTATGTATTTGATTGCTGTAAGTTGTTGGGAGTCTTTGCAATTGAGCAGTATATGCATTTACACAAGAACAATTTTCATCAGCTTCCCGCTTAATGTTCTGCACAACCAAATATAAACTTCTGTAAAGAATCATTAACATGTAAACACTATCCTGAATAATCCTTGAAGCAAAGGCAGAAAGCAAGCCTCTGTGATAACCCTCCCCCCAGATGTGTCTCCAGATACCTCTCCAGATATCAGTTCAGAGGAGGATGAACCAGTCCCAGGCACATCAAGATGGGAGTAGATCAGTGACTCCAAGCAGTCAGCTGACAGTCATTTAGCTGAAGCGCAACTGCAGCAGAACAGTCCTCAGGCTTCAGGTGGAGAAAGCACACAGCTACAACTGGTTAGTGATGAGGAGGAACTGCTTCTGCACCTGATCTGAGAACACAAGGCAGAGAAAAGGCAGGAACAATAAAGGTCAGCCAAATAGCTTGCATTTCTCTTGATGGGCTGCACCAAAAACTGGCTATTTAGCATAGCAAACAGATGGAGACAATCTGGAACAATGCATTCATTTCCTAGGTGCGCAGTCCCTGGTCATTGTGATTCCTGCCTTGCTTTGGATTGAAACCATGCCTTGCCTTTGGATCATGCCTTGGGAACTCTGGAGTTTTCTGGCCCTGTGAATCCACTTGTGTTATGGATTTAATTTTGCTTGGTAGATTTGTCTTGATTGGGAAACTTTCAAGTGGACTCACTTGCCATTGCTCTGTGGACTAATGTTGATCTGCTTTGGGTTGGATTTAATTGGGACAGTTCTGGGTTTTTAGTGAAGGGAATTGCTGGGGAACATTAATAAGCCTACCAATTATATGTGTGCATGAGTGAGAGGGATAGCACAGTCTCAAGTTATGGAGAAAAGTTGCTGCTGTTTCCATTTTTTCCTTCTTTTCCTTGAGAAGGAAAGCGTAATTGTAAGGTTTAGACTAATGGAACTTTCAGCCTATGGATCCTGGTGCTGCGGACAATCAGTCACAAGCAATAGCAACATATGCTGCTCTCTGAAATGCCAGAGGAAGAATCTCCAATTAGAATGGCGACCATTTGCACATCAGCTAAACTGCTAACTGGAACACATAAAATAACTAAGCTCATTGTGTAGGCAGAAATCAGTACAATGCAAATATGGGAAGGGATCTTTCTGAGTCTCAGGGAAAGAAGAAATAAAAATATTTATATTTCCTCCTTTTAATGAGCAAATAGTCTTTTCTTCTCATGTTAATATGGTATTTCTGTCATCTGCCTCAAACTTACTTTGCTTAGAGAACTGACAAAGACATTTGGCCTCTGGAAGGCTGTCTGAAAATCTCTGTGTCCTGAGGAGAAAAGTAGCTCTTTTGAGAAACTATAAAGTAACATCGTGGAGACAAATTGTTGGAATGGCTGAGTTAAATTTTATGGAGCAGATGTTGTGTCCTAGGGATTCATAGCAACATTTAGTTTATTCAGTATCAGCCCCTTTGTTAAGTCGGTATTCTTAATAAATGTAACTGATCATTTGCACTTAAAAATCTACATTAGAATAATGTTAAAGTATTGTTTGTTTCAGTGTGCCAAAGCAACATTCTTCTGACACTTGTTTGCAAAAGCATTAAAATTCAAGGCTGTTATTTATTTTGGGGTAAGGGATTGATAAATCGTATCAGTTTAGTTATTCAATTATTCAATATTATAACAATAAAAGTAAGCTGCAGATAGACAACATTCTCTCGATTTGCAGGCAGTGAAGCTGGCTAGACAAGTGTTCTGAATTACTATAGGAGAAGGAAAAATTCATCAGTAATTTTCTCAAGGGGATAATTTTTTCTTTGTAATGATACCAGGACTGCTAGTGGGTCTTCTTTCATAAACTCTTTCCTTAGGATGGGCCTAGAAGTGTGGAAAACATAAAACTGCCAACCTGAAAAAATGAAATGCAAGACAAGCTTCTTATATCACTTAATTGTTTCATAACTAAAAAGTACAATAACACAATATTCCATCCATAATAAATGCAATAAGCAAATCCACTTCTCCAATTCTCAAGTCTTTCACACATTACTTAATAATCCTTTGGGTTCAACTGCACTGTAGAACAAGTATCCTTCACTAGAAAGTTATCTGTATTGAATGTCTATCTGTTTCATTTCCCTGTTGGCTTTGATAATCAATAATTCCACTTAACAAATGGAAGAGATATTATCAATTATTTAAACCAGTCTTTTAGTATAGAATGCCAGACCAGACTGGGGAGACCTTGATTCACATCAGTTTAGTGGGTAATCTAGGACCCATTCTGTATCTAATTTACTTCCCAAGGTTTTTTTGTGAGGATAAAGGAGTTGCAACTATATATTTTGCCTTTAATGTTTCATAAAATGAATGAGATGGGACTTAAATACATGTTTCATCTTTTAAAACTTAGAGATAAGGAAAGAAATTGCCCATAATTTTTGTTTATCTCCCTGGCATTTTTTACAGTGCAAAAAACAGTGCAAAAATATTTGGCAGGTTATGGCTGAGCATACTCTGTCAACAGAAGTGTCAGCAAGAAGCTGCTACTTTTGTCAAAATGAAATTGTGCCACACTTTGGCTATGTGTGCTACATTACAGCATACCTAGAAAAGGAGCAGGCCTACTCTCACAATGCTATAGTGCTCCTTAGTCAAGTTAACCTTCTCCTTCCTCAATCTAACTCTCTTGCTTCCTCCAGAAGATATATATTTACACACACACACATACATATACATACACGCACACCATATATATGTATACATAAACAAACCCCATGATTTTATGTCCATTGTCACTTTTTGTGAAATATTGATTGTATCTGTGGGCTTAGTCCATAAATAGCATTCCAGCTAAAACTCAGTAACATAATGTCCTAAGACAAGCTATAGATTGTTTTTCAGTTTCTAGTTTGTCCATATGTTACCATTGTGGTTTATTAGGATAATTGTTGTGTAATCTCTCCAACTCTGGTTTACTCAATGACCCATGTTAAAATGAAGAATGGCAGAATACACACTACAAATCAGCCAGTAATCTGTTACTGCATGTCCAAATAACATTTAATATATTTTAGGTACAAAAGACTATCATTATGTCAGAGATGATAGCTAAATATTACTTTGCTCTCTTTAAAAATGATCTCTCCTCATTTCTATTCTAATTAGACTTGTTCTACCTCTATGAATTAAAACAAAAGAAGCAGTTAAAAGACTTAGATCCTATGGGAGGGGAGGGGAAGGTTTCTGGTTGTTATTGTTTGAATTTATACCCACCTGTAATTTAACTGACCCTTCAAGAATGCCAGTTTAGAAAATGAACCCTATTTTCTGCAGACATCATCAATGTAAACAACTGACATAATCAAACACAATATGAGGCAATTTAAGTGTGACTGCCTGGAGCTCTCTACATTCTTGGCACATTGACTGATCATAACCATAATAAGGGCTAGCAGAGGGAAAATGTTGAACTGCCCATAGTTGAATTTTCAGTTAACTTGCCTATATATTGAACAAATGTTTGTGGGGTTCTAGCTATAATTTCTTCAGCAAGTTGGCATTTTTGTTTTTGCTAACCCTTCCCATTATGCCTGCAGAACTCTGGATGGTTTTCAAAAATATGGGATACTGTTGGAAGAATTACAATTGGAGAATTGGCAGAAATTGGACACATCACCTTATGCACTTTTTATTAGTAACATCTGTTACTGATTATAGCTCCATAATGAAAAATGATGTGAAAACCTCCCAATTCTTGAATCAGCTTCAGAAGAATAACAAAGTGTCTGATATGGACAATAGTTCAGATTATTCCGTGTCCAGTTTGGATTATGTTACAGCTCTAATTATATCTAATTATATCTGTACTGGAGTTTAATTCTTTCCTTGAAAGATGCCTTCCTCTGCTATGGGAAATGTAACAAGACAAACTGAAGGTTTAGAAAGAAGAAGCATAGTGGGTAGTGTGGCTTTAGTTTCTGAACCCTTCCTTATCTACATACCTTAGTGCAGTGTTTCTCACCATCAGCAATTTTAAAATGTGTGGACTTCAACTTCCGGAATACTGGATGGGCAATTTTGGGAGTTGGAATCCACATATCTTAAAGCTGATGAGGTTGAGAAACACTGCCTTAATGGAACCCAGATTGGATTATGACATAAAAATAACAATGCACAATGCCTTGTCCTCTTACCCTTCTCTTTTGTATTTTGCTGGTCTTTTTCAGAATGCAGAAGAGCAGAAAAGCCACGGCCTGGGGATAATGTGGACTTTCGAGACAGGAAGAAAATTGAATGGGCTAGTCCTCCACACCCAATATAGAAATATATTTTCCATTGACTGGATTTTAATCAACATTATACCACTAGTTTTACAAGTCACACAAACTATTTTCAAAACAACAAACAGAAATCTTTGAGTTCATTGCTGCTGGACCCTTTGTTATGGACTGTCTTTAACTGAACTTCATCTTTGTTAGCTTCAGCCTAAAAAAATCCAGTCTAAAAGATTTAATTGTTGAACACCTGCAGGCTCTTTGGAACCACTGCCCCCCCCCCTTGCTGATGAGAAGTAATACAGCCCAATGGGAGATCAGACAATAACATTTAACTAAATGAAGACATACTAAATGAGGCATCTCAAGCAAATGCTTTTGTGAAGGTATTTTTCAGGTTTACCCAAGGGTTGAGAAAAAAATACTTTTGTCTTGACTGCACACAGAAAATGTTGATGTATACATGTATTTAGTTTTATATTTTCTGCATACCACATCTGATCATAAGGATAGATCAAAAGCATCTCCTGTTTCAAACAAATCATGGTTTCATTCAAACTTAAAGCTAACTACAAGGTTTTGATTACTTTTTCACAGTTTTTGTACTAAAGGGAAGGTCTTACGGTTATAATAGTTCTTCCTGTGTGTATGCAGATCACTTTAGCTCTTCTCATGCAAATATATTGATATGAAAATACAGATTCTTTCCTTTACAATGTAGTTTAAAAATAAGTCTTGTTTAGATCCTCCCAAACATTTTATATTAGTATATTCTGATGAACTTAATGGTGCTACTTTAACTTACATTCCCAACAGTCCAAAATTAAAAAGCAATACATAATTATGGGGAAGAAAGTAAATTAAATGAAGATAAATAAGACATGGCTCTGTGCACACCAAAATGTGCTGTTTTTATTGCTTGCCTTGATAAGGACATTTACTGATTCAGCAGTTGTTGATGAGGGAATTTTTTAAATTAAAAGATACCTTCATATGAATGATAGAAGCTTCATCCCATGCTAGGTGGATGATAGGAAATAGGTCTGGCTTTGCTATAGTTACATTTGGCCTTTCAAAGTTGCAACAATCCCTTGGCTACTCTCATTTAAA